CCCACTATGAATACTTCTAATCAGTCTACAAAACAAAGACTGTACCATCATAAAATGGGGTGATTCAGAAAATTTTTAAAGTTACCTTCTAATATTACTTTCTATATTTTCAAAAAAAAATGGTTGGTATTTTTATATAACCAGTATATCATAAGAAACATAATCTACTAAATAAAAAAACAAAACAGAAGTGAATATTCATCGTAGAAATAACTAGTCAGTATTTTACCAAAGAAAGCAATTAGTGCCTTCTAATTCAAGAAAGACAAAAAGGGGGAGGCACAACTATCAAAATATAAAGCTTGATAAATATAAAACATGCCAAAACATAAACAAAACTAAAAGCTTCACACTGAACTCTTCCCATAATTGTATGTTTATTTTATGCAAGTCTACAGAATTAGAGGAACTTTTCTTATTGGTTTGTTTATTTAAAGTTGTTGTTATTGCTGTTGTTTTGAGACAAGGTCTCACTATTTATTAGCTCACGCTGGCCTTGAACTCACTATTTAGACCAGGTTGGCCTCAAATTTGGGATAACCCTCCTGCCTCAGCCTCCCAAATGTTGGGAGTACAGACAACATACTGCTTAAATTTTATTTGAAGCGGAAAACTCTTAACAGACTCTAAATTTTAATTATAAGATTATACCCTAATTGGCATATAATCTATGCTATATTAAAAGATTAAAAAGTGGGGGGCTGGGGATTTAGCTCAGCAGCATAAGAGCTTGCCTTGCAAGGGTGTTGGTCTTGAGTTTGATCCCTGGTACTGGTAAAAATACAAAAATAAAAAAAAGACTAAAAAGTGGAATATTAACTAAAAATCCAATTTTCAGCATGCAAGTTAAGACAAAAATGAATCCTCAGAGCTTTTAGACATCCTAATGAAATTCCTTGTATTACCTTGACTTTCCTGAAGTAATGGCACAACAGAAACACAAATTGGAATAGCAAAGAAATGTCTACTTTTCTCTAATCAAGAACACATAACCCCAAAAAGCTGACTTCTAAGTGAATTTAGCTAGTTAGACTTAAGCTATGTTTAAGAGTTTTAAGCATTTCAAAGTAACTTACAGATTAAATGTTTCATTTTATTTAATTAGTCTGAACTTTTGTTCCATGACCCTCAATTGATGAGATCTATTCTTAAAATCTCAAATTGTATGAATTAAATTATCTTCCAAAGAATGAAAATTTAATTTGGTAAGATTCAATAGATTCAGCACAACACAGGGAACATACATAATTAAAGAGAGAAATAATTTTAAAATATTTTGTTATTGAAGAAACGCAGGCGGTCCTGCTTTGCACATTTCCAATATGAATGAATTCAGTTACCATGTTTTAGTTAAAAAGCACCACTCTCTCAACAATATAGCTCATATTTAAGTTACCACAAGAGCTGTGAGTTAGTACATTAAGTACAAATTTGCTGTTAAGATTTTCAGTTGACAAATTACCACATAAACAACAGATGGACAACCCAACCAATCATAGCACTGTTTTGAAGTTTATTTGGTAAAATTATACCTCTACTATTTGATTTATACATAAACTGCAAAGCGATCAGTAAACTACTGTGAAATTTTATATAAACAAGCTATGAAATGCGCAAACCAGCCAATGAAGATGAAAACTACAACAAAAACACAGAAAGTGATAATCTAGCAATAAAATAGAATTTAATATAAATGGGCTTGAAGAAGAAACAGCTTAAAATGTAAGAATGCTGACATCACTACACACTTAATAGACATAAAACCAGAGGAACACTGTGAAGGCAAACTTACTAACATAAATGAACAAAGCAACTGCAATAAGAATGAAAATGGTATTGTAGAAAAACAATACTCTCACATTACAGAAATTCTAAGAGGTATTCAGTAAGTATTACACACCAATCATTTGACACTCATTGCCACGTCCTCAAGACTGAGGATAGATCATTTTACACTAGATTCTGTACTATATGAAATTTTAATTGAGCAAATTTCCAGTCTGTATCAATTTTACTCTAAAATCTAAAAGGGAATTAAGATACCACATAATAATTCCACTCCTGGTTTATATTCTAAAAAAGTATCTGTATATCCAGGTTTATAACAATATTATTCACAGTATCTAAAAGGCAGAGACAACCCAGGTGCCCATATACAAACAAAAGGTAGTATATGTATACTCTGGAATATTATTCATCTTTAAGAAAGATCATTCTGATACATGTTATAACATCGATGAAACTGAGGACATTATGCAGTGAAATAAGCCAGTCACAAAGGAAGTATTTACTGCTTCCACTTGTGTAAAGTACCTGGGATATACAAATTCACAGAGATAGAAAGTATACTTAGGGCTGCCAAGGATGCAGACAGAGTCAGCTTTTACAGGTCCAGTTTAATTTAGGAAAATGAAAAAATGTTCCAGGGATGGATGGTGGTAATGGCTGCACAAAAATGTACTAATGCCACTTAGTTTGTACATTTTGTTGTTTTCTGAGACACGGTTTAGTTATGTAATTCAGGCTGTCCATGAACTCACTATGTAGCTCAGGCTTGCCACCATGCCCGACTACTTAATTTGTACATATAAAAGTAGTTAAAATGGTAAATTTTATGTTGTATCTATTTTAGCCACAATAATAAAAGAAAAGAGAAAAAGCAACAGCCTTTATCAAGCATACGAAAGTCAAAAGAATGTACCATCACCAGAATAACACAATACTTCATGTTTAAATATGAGACAAAACTCTGGGCTGTAAAATAATATCCAATAAACTTTAAAAGATTTGAATCCTATAGAATATATTTTCTGCTCAGAAATGCTAACTATAAATATAAAGAAAATATTTTCTTCATATTAGATCTCTTGAAAAGCTCATTTCTTGGGCTAGGGATGTGGCTCAGTGATAAGAGTTTTTGTCTTGCACGCACAAGGCCCTGGGTTCAATCTCCGGCACCATTCCCCCCCAAAAAAAACTTTTAAGAAACTCACTTCTTTTGCGTCTTTTTGAGACAAGATTTCACATGCAGTTCAGGCTGGCCTCGAACATGTAGTGTGATCCTCCTGTCTCAACCTCCCCAGAGCTGGGATTACAGGCATGCACTACCATGCCTGGCCCTGAACATAAAAATCTTTTAAAAGCATCAATGGATAAACAGATTAAGGAAATCTGGTATGGGGAGAGGTGTGGGTGTGTGTATTATACCTATACAATGTATGATGAATATAATTTAACCTTTAAAAAAGGAAACCTAGCTAGTCATGGTGGCATATACACTTATAACCCCAATACTTAGGAGGTTGAGACAGAGGTTTGCTAAAAGTCAAGGTCAGTCTGAACTACATGAGACACTATCTCAAAAAAAAACAAAACAATAAACAAAAGAAACAGAAGGAGAGAATAAGAAATATTCTTAAACCTAGCAGTCTATAAAAATGATAATACATTTATATCACACTCAAAGGAATTTATCCAAGAAAAGCAAGGATAGTTTAACATTAAAATAACAACAACAAAAAGAACCTAATTCACCATGTTAAAAGCATTTGACAAAATCCACCATCCATTCCTGAAAGAACTCCCAGCAAATTAAGACTACATTGTAGAGCTAACTACACTGGAAAATGATTTAGTAGTTTCTGAAAGTTAAACAAATGCTCAAATGTGAATCACTCACTCACCTCAGAAATATTTACCCCTCAGAAAACAAAAGCATTTGCCATGCAAGGTTCTGTATACAAATGTTCCCAAGGTTTTATTTGTAATAGCCAAAACATGAAATCAACTCAAATTTCTAAAAACATGTAAACATATAAACTACATAACAACCAAAACCACTCAGCAATTAAATGGATCAAACTCTTTTTACATTGAACAATACAGATGCATTCAAAATAATTATACTGAGTGAAAGAAGCCAAGTCAAAAAGAAAGGTTTTTACTGGATGACTCCATTTTTACAAAATCTAAAAAATATAATCTACAATGTCATGGCCTGACGAAAAGGAAATGGAGGGCAGGAAGGATTACATGGGAGAACAGGCTCATTATCCTCAGTGTGTTGATGGTCCCGGGGGAACATGTGTATGTCAAAATTTATTAAAACTGTAAGCTTTAATTATGTTCAATTTATGTTACCTCAAAAGCTATTAGAAAGGGGCTGGGGATTTAGCTCAGCGGCATAAGCGCCTGCCTTACAAGCAGGCAGTCGTGAGTTCGATCCCCGGTACCGATAAAAAGGAAAAAGACCAAAAAAAAAAAACTATTAGAAGAATTATACAACATCATGAACACACTTAATGCCACTGAACTATATACACAAGAATGATTTAAATAGCCAATTTTGTTATTTTTATTACAATTTTTACAAGGAACTTTTTAAAAGTGGTGGGGTTACTGAACTCAAAACTGAAGATAAAAGTGATAATTATGAGAATCAGTAAGATGAGTAAGGAACTCATATTTCCAGGTTACCCACATTCATTACCACATTCAATTTTGTCTGTGATGGGCCAAACACGAAATAGCAGCACCATAAGACAGAGCTAAAAGTCTCTTGTCACACAGTGATGTTGAAAAGCCCTTGCACAATACATTACTTGGGTGTTTTGTGCTGATACTGAGATCTAATGCACTGTCAGTAACATAAAAGGATTGCACATATATTAAGTATGCTACATACTATTTTATAATGATAATAAATGTTACTGATTTATGTATTTACTGTATTACACATTTATCATATTAGAGTGTATTCTCTCTGCTTATTATACATTACACAGCACATGTTATACTTGCAGCAGCCTCATACAACTTACATCATTCTTGAATGCATCAAGAGGCCACATCAAGTGGCTGGCTTATATTATCTAAGTTTGTGTAGATACAACTATGACTTTGCAAAAAAAAATTGCCTAAGGACAGATTTCTGAGTGGCTGTTTTAAATATACGACACTTTTGATTCAATGTGAATTTACAGTTTCTTACATGCTGTTACCTGTGAGATATGATTGATGGAAGACTCCATTCTCCGAAGCTGAGAAGCTTGGATGTCCAGTAACTGGAGTACATTGTTGGCCAATGCATTTATTTGATAAGCAACACTAGCTAGAGATTGGGTTGTATATGCTTTGGTCTCTTCTAAAGCTTTTCTCTTGTCTGTAGCCTAAAATAAAAACAAAAACAATGAATATTAACTTACTAACATTCATTAAACATAGGTTCTATAAAAACCAAGCTATAATTATTTTTCAATTAAAAAAATCACAATTCAATCAAAACTGCACCAATTTGACAACAGTATATAAAGTTTATAGACTGACAACCTATTTTCTTTATACTGACCTTGCAACCCTGCAACATTACCATGTATTAACTTTAATCATTTTTTGTGGATTACTTAGAATATTCTACAAGATACACAATCATGCTGTCTAATGAATACAAACTTTTACTTTTTTTCCTTTCCAATAGAGATGTCTTGTGTTTTTTTTCCTTGTTCTACTGCACTGACTAGGAACTCTAGTACCATAAAGAACAGAAGTATTTATTTCCACATTAAAGGGAAAAAGTATTCAGCATTTCAACATTAATCCACAGATACTAGTTTTTTCCACAGATACCTTTTAAGAACTTATGAAACTACTATTTTATTCTTTGTTCACAAATCCAAATGGTCTTAGTCTTGAGTAACACTTGGTTATTTTCAGTCATGTATTGTAGTCTAAGAGATTCACCTTCCTATTTTGAAATTTTCAGAGTATCGGTTATACACCTTCTCCTAGAAGAGTAGGAGAGAATGACAGCTTTAAACTAAGATCTATTTCTCCTTAAAGTTCCATTTTTTCTCCTGCTTCCCTTATTGTACAATCATGGAACTAAGAACTGCCAATAAAATGTTAATGGAAATGGTGCCATTTCCAGTTCTGGACATAAAAATTGCTCATTTATGCTCCAAACCAATATAGAAAAATGTAATTCTACCAAAATAAAGTTGTATTTAACACAAAATAATAGTTAAAAATGTTTCCATTTCTAAACTTACAATAACTGAAGTTTAACTTTAAAATTCATTTCCCCAGGGGGCTGGGGATTTAGCTCAGCGGCATAAGCACCTGCCTTGCAAGCAGGCGGTCGTGAGTTCGATCCCCGGTACCGATAAAAAGGAAAAAGACCAAAAAAAAAAAAAAAAAAATTCATTTCCCCAGGCTAGGGATAGTGGTGCACGCCTGTAATCCCAGCACTCAGGAGTTGAGACAAAAGGATCAATGTGAGTTTGAGGCCAGCCTGGGCTACAAAGTAAGTTCAAAGCTAGCTTGAACTGCATAATGAAACCCTGTCTCAAAAAAACCACAAAAATTTTTTAATCTTCCCAGCATTGTGTTGGGCGCAGGCGCTCAACATACCATACCCCACCCGGGACTAAGGACCACGCCAGCTTCCGCAATGCGCTACGTCCCTCTTTAAATTAGCTAACCCGTGCGCACTTCGTGCTCACTCTGTACTCTGTGGCAACTCCTGATTGGCCACAGCTGGATATAGTAGCCAGAGCCTGCGTCCCATTCCCGCCCTGCTTCCTCGTGGCAGCCTGTGATTGGTCACGGCCAAATATATAAACCAGAGCCCGCTTATATGTGAATAAAGCAGCAGTTAACTGTCGTCCACAAGAGCGTCTCCTGTCTCCTGTTTCATTGGGGCTGCGCCGGTCACATTGTAATATTTCAAGTGCTCAACAGGCACATGTGGATTGTGACCATCTTACAAAGTATAATTCTAGCCACCACTAATTTCTTCTAAAGATTATGAATCCAAAAAATCAAACCTGCACAAAAATTACTGTTACAAACTTAATTTTGTTTGTAAATTCAGTATACACGACTTAAGTCTTCCTCCTTTGTATTTGTATAAAATAAGCATTCTAGGGGTCAAAGTGGATTACAAATTAGAAGATAAAGTGTCAGGATATACCTCTTAACTGCCCTAACATGTGACAATGAAACCCATTTACTATCCGTCTTATGCCAAGAAGTTTGCTTAAGAAGTTATGTTAAGAAGTTTGCTTAAAATGAAATCAAACATGTTTAGTTTTAAAAGGAAAGCTAAATTATTTAAAACAGCTAAACAATGAATCCAAAACTAAACAGAAACTTCCTCAGGTGATTGAACTTTTATGAACAGCTCACACATAAAACTCATCTCCTACTCAGCTGTGGAAACCAAGCTTTACTAGGTCAGGATCGGCTAGCTGGAGTAAAAAATCTTTTCTTGTAAAAACATACACATCTTTAAGTCCTTTTCTAGCCTCTGAAGGTAATCTCTTCTTTTTCACTGCCTGAAATAGAAATTACTAGCTATATAAGCAATCAACCTCTCCATCATCTCTCTCAATGTCCTTCAATCTCTCCCAACCTGCTGTACCTCCCATACATCTATTTTAACTGCCCTTCCTGTCCTTCACACTCCCACCCTTCACCTACTACTATAGGAAAAATATTTATCTTTCTTATAATCAAATACCCGATTCCAAAAAAAAAAAGAAAATGTCTTTGTCATAACTATTTCTAAAAAGTAAAACAATTTAAATTAAAACATTATATGCTTCTCAAATTATTTCCTGCTTCTGACTTTGAAAGTATTAATTAGAGAAATAAAAGCAAATGAAAATATGCATAATGGTTCCATTATTCAAATAGACACATTTTTTCCATAACACATTAATGCATTTTCATTAAATCATTACACATGTATGTATAATAACGATTATATAGTCTGTAGCCCCTTCTTCATTTCATAATGCATGACCACTATGATCTTTTTCTCCATATACTACTCTTAACTACTATCCTTGTCAAAAAATAATTTTCAGTAGCTTCACGATTATGGTGATAACCCTTAAGATACCTACTCTTCTTTTAATTCCTACTTGAATCAAATTTCTCATTTGATTTTAAATCAAAGCATCAATGTACTAGGGTCTGTTTTTAAAAATTAACATACAACTTCCTATTAATCAAACAAAAGATAGTAATATTTCAAATTAAAGAAATTCAGACAGAAATGGGTATAAGTATCTTCTATTATTTCCCTAAAGTATAGTGTAATACATAGAAATATAAACATAACTCCCGGAGGCTGGGGATTTAGCTCAGCGGCATAAGCGCCTTGCCTTGCAAGTATGTGGTCGTGAGTTCGATCCCCGGTACCAATAAATAAAGAAAAAGACCAAAAAAAAAAAAAAATCTAAAAAAACATAACTCCCATGCTACTATCCTTTAACTTCAATAAGCACAGCTTTATAAATTCACATTTTACATGGTTTTATGTTTGCAAATGTTTGAATCTCAAAGCAATCAAAATTTAGTTTCACTAATGTTTTAATGAATCTAGAATCCTGTTTTTAGAAAATAAGACAGTATTTTGGTATTATAGGAAATACCAGAATACCGATATCATCTTATTTCTTCAAATACTACCACTGTTAATTTATTAAAATTGCCTATTTATTCATTTTACAGATTAATAAAACTGCTTTCTTCTGACTTGTTATTGCAGTATTTTAGCTGCATAAAAGGTCCAAACACCAACCTATAAGATAACTTTTAAGAGTGCTGTTTCTACAGCCCTGCCGCACTGAAAGATGTAATATACAGAAAAAGAACAAAGCCTATATATCTATACCGAGCATATTCTATAGTATTGGCCTCCATAATAACATGTTGGAGTAAGAATATGACAAACTAAAATGTTCTTTCTTACTCACTTTGAACCCCTTCCTTAAAATGATTTGCTTGAAAACAATTTGCTTTCTTTAGAAAATAGTAATTTCTCACTCTCCTAAGCACAAGTTATCTGACAACCTTCTTTGGTTAATGAAAGAGAAGTGTCACCTGCATGTAAAATAAATTTTTAAAGTTTTCTGACACTTTGGTCTTGAATTTTCCTCAAAACCTTTCTAGAAATACCAGGTCTATCACACCACATTTCCTGTACTTTTTAATTTATCTCTAATCCAAACCTAAATTCAAAATTTTTCCAAATTCCAAAGGAAAACCCTTATATCTGTTCTATTTTATTCTGTACGTACAGAATAAAACAGAATAAAAGTCAAAGATTGTTCACAGTTGTTGATAATCACATCTATATGTGAGTATCTGCGGCCCTGTCTTTTCCATCAAAGCATACAAACAGAAATGGCTCTTTCTCAAGACTCTAGTCTACCCTAGGTGGCCCCAATACACAGAAAATACAAGAACACCTGCTCAGTTTAAATTTTGGGAGCACCGCTACAGACCAAGGCAGCCTTATCTTCAGATCCCTCCATCCTTGTACCCTTCCGACTTACTGCCCCTCAGCAACCCTTCTGATCCTCCCCTCCATGGCTTAAACTAGCTAACCCAGAAGGAATATAAACCTTGAATTCAAAGGACAGCTGCTTTCCACCTGAGGGCTTAAAACACCCCACCCCTCAGCAAACCCGCTACCTCCAGTCTGAGAGCACTCTTGCCCTTCTCCAGAACTTGAATTACAGACATGGCAGTGAAGGGCCACAGGAGAGGAGAGTTGCTCACATAATGGCAGCCAGGAAGAAGAGAGAAGAGAGAAACTGGGAAAAGAGACAGACCTCTCCAGGACACATCATCAATGTGTCCCACCACCTCCTCCATCAGGCCCTAGGCCAAACAGAAAGTCAGCTCTAACCACTGCTGCCCCACCCATTCATTCAATCACTTGCCCAAAACCCTGTGGCAGGTCTCTAGAGGTGGTTCCAGGCTGGTCTCAGACTTGCAGCCAGATCTTCAGCCTCCTGAGTGCTAGAATTGCAGGCCTGGTGTGTGCCACCACACCCATCATCAAGAGCAGCCCTTTAAATGTTCATGATGATTCTTATGCATTCAGACTTGGCAGTTCTGAACTGAATTCCATAACTGCCATCAGCTTGAACCATGGATGGTACATATATGCCTGACCCATTCCTCGTGTATCATCACTTCTCAGTAATTAATTACAATAATGCAAAAAAAGGCATTGATTTAGCAGACCAGAAGTCATCATATACTCCAGTTTCTTAAGGAAAACATTTAAGTGGCATAAAAAATTACAATACTCTGATCTGTGGTACAACAATTGTAAACGCATATTATGTATATACCATTAATGGAGTGCTTA